CCTCCAGAGGGGGATTGGGCCCGCCATCCCTGTTGTGGGACCATATGTGCCGTGCAGAGTGCCCCACTAAGACTGTTAACGGATCGCGAATGATTCGGCCCAGCCCCCTGGTAAGGGAAGAGTTGAACCCAGCCGTTGTAAAAGCAAAAAGATGTACCTTGTTATCTGATGAAGTGTTGAAGGATCCGTTTGATCCTGTAGAGTTAAGTGTACATTCAAATAAAGTTGTTACTTCGGAAGAAATGGACTCTCCTCCGTGTCTTTTTCCCGCCTTTACCACCCCCCCCCCCGGCCAAAGACGGACCTTGTCACAAATGTCTACTCATAATTGGTTTATTTTATAATTTCTTGGATCTTCCACTGCCCAGATAGTCAACCTTGGGTCTAGCTATCCTACACTTGCCAGGGTTCGTGGTGAGCCCCGTTTTGCTCAATTCCTCTAAGACCTTATGCAAGTGTTGTATATGTTCTTCCCATGTCTCACTGTATACAGTTATGTCATCTTTATGGGCAGCAGCACAATCTTGTACAGGTATAAGTGTCTTGTCCATCAGGCGTTGGAAGGTGGCTGCTGCCCCATGCAGCCCAAAAGGCTTCTGGGTGAATTGGAAAATATCCTGGGATGTAGAGAAGACTGTTTTCTCTTTACAGTATCATGCTCTCTAAGAGGTATCTGCCAATATGGTTTGGTCAATCTATAAAATAAAGGTATCTAGCTGCTCCCAATCTGTCTAATAAATCACCCACTTTTGGCATTGGGTATGCGTCAGATTTGGATACAAAATTCACCTTTTGATAATAAATGCAGAACCTCACACTACCATCAGGCTTAGGGACTACCATGAGATAGCAACTAGAATCATCTGTATTGAATATTACTTGGTTCTGTTGTGGGCCAAGCTTTGGGAGAATATTCTCCTCAAAGCAGGAGTCAGATTGTTCTCCTGAGCAAGTCAAAAATATAGGAGGTTGATATCCATTCTATTTACCTTGTTTGAAGAAAAACACTATCCTGTGTATAGTGTACAATTTATCAGCAATACAGTGGTGCCTCGCATAACGAGCGCACCGTTTAACGACGAATTCGCATAGCGATCTATTTTTTTAGATCGCTAATGCGATCGCATTGCGATGTTTTAATGGGCAAAACATCGCATTGCGATGATCGGTAAGCGTTTCGCTTACCGATCTTCGCATTGTGAAGTTTCTAAAACAGCTGATCAGCGGTTCCAAAATGGCCGCCGGGTGCCCAAAATGGCCACCACAACCATTTTCACGCAGTTTCCTCGCTTACCGAGGGCGCGAAAATGGTGGCGCTATGGAGGATCTTCGCTGAATGGTGAGTTTGGGCCCCATAGGAACGCATTAAACAAAGTTTAATGCGTTCCTATGGGTTTTTCCGGTCCGTTTAGCGATGTTTCCACATAGCGACGATTAATCCGGGACGGATTAACGTCGCTATGTGGGGCACCACTGTAATTTCCTAGGAATGGAGTGACAAGCAAGAGAAAACAGTTTCCTCCACCTGAATTATTCTACTTCTCTGCTTAATGAGCAAAAATAACATACAGTGGCCCAGTGGATCTGTAAGCACAAAAGCTAGTATGTTCCATACACAAACTAACAACATGCTAACAAAATGCTCTTTATAAAATTTGTTCACAGTAGGCAGAAGATTTACTAAACTGATGTTTCTTGGTATTTGAGAGTGTCATTTTAAAAAAGATGATACTATTATCATTTGAGTCCATGATTTACGTACATCTATGGTTTTATCTGTAAGAATAAAAAAGTTAGTCAAAGGAGCTGCCTACTTCCTTAAACCGTTTTGTAGCCATTCAGGTGGGAACTCCTCAGACCTCGGTGCCTTTCCAAACTCATGGACTATTTAGGTTTTCAATTTTGTATTGGTTCACAGAAGACCTTTCCAGCAAATCTCAGAGCTGATGGGACATACAATGGTAGAGATGGGATTCCCAGTACCACAATTCGGCAGAAAGCCCCCAGGCCAGATCATGGAACTAGGAGCCACCAAAACAGCAGAAGGTAGAGCAGCCCTCTTACTTCCAGGCTGTTCCCGGGCTACTTTTTTGGGCCCTCTGACAAGTGCACCAGGCGTCTTTAGAAGTTGTTAGAATCCCCTGTGACCACAAGGATGCCCAGAGCGGTTTTCAGAGGTTGTGAAGAAGTGGAGGAATGGTGTGGAGGTAAAAAGGCTGCTCTACTTCTTGCTATTTTTGGTGTCTCCCTGTCCCAAATTCTGGGACTGAGAGCCCTTTCCCCCCTGAAAGTCCCATTGCTATGCAATGTTTCTGAAAACGTCCTGCGATGCCTGTGCAGGATGATGTGGCAAAATGAATCAGTGTTGTCAGACAGGGCACTTGTCGTGAGAGCCCACAATTGTTTATTGTAATTACATAGTGGTCAAAACTCTGTTGGTTAGCATAGTAAATTGCACTGGAGTGGGCCCACTGAAGCAGTGGGGATTTGGGGAGTCAACTCCTCTGTAAGTTCTACTGATTCAAATGGGCCAACTCTAACTGCAACTTACTTTTAGCACATTATGTTATGGTTAGAGTAGTATCAGTTGAACTTACAGAGGAGTTGACTCACTAAATCCCTATTGATTCAATAAATCTACTCCTGTGCAATTTACTATGCCAAGCAACACAATTTTGGACAACAAGACATTTATTGACAGATGCAATCTTTCTTTTTGTATCTTGCTTTATCTCTTCATAATTTTGTATTGCTTTTAAAATTTGCATAATCTTTCTGGGAAGTTGTTTACTGTGCTCTTTCAGTAGTTGACATTCTTCATCCAGCCACACATTAAATTTACTGTTGAAATTCTTACAATAGCCTGTGATAGTCTGCTGTTGTAAAACCATATTGATCAGCGATCGTGTTAAATACGATGTTCTTCTTTTGCTTTAACAGTAAGTAGTTATGGCTGATGACGCAAAGTGGGTTGTTACTGTGGCAATCAAAATATCAAGTTCTATAAACAAATGCTGCAATTAGTCCACCATTCTTCCAGAGATGACCCATATCCATTTGGTGCAAAGAACTACAAAATGTTGCTTATAGAAAAGTGAAATATTTTGAGTAAAAATTAGGAAGACAAAACTTGTGATTCTTTGATCAGCCATTTTGTTAAAAAAAAGCTTGTCAAAAATAAGTTTAAACGTATGTTTTGGGAGTGTGGGATGCTGGAAGTCCCTAGGACTGCTGGAGGACTGCATTTGGCTCTCTGAAGGCTGTGTGTGGACTGCGCCTCCCCCCCCCTGCGGTGAGAAGCGTGTCTTGCTCCCTTTTTCATAGAAGAGAAATTCTCCACCTGTTGAACTCAGTTGTAAACCCCCCTCTTGAGCATAACTTTCCCTTGTTTCGCAGGCTTAGGCATGTGAATACAAACCTTAGATCCATCTCAACCTTTTAAAACGTAACATGTTAATGAAAAAGGAAGAAAGTACTCTGGGTCATATTGCTAGATATCTCATAAAACGATTGTTAGACATGGGGACGGATAAAAAAACCTGAATCACGAAATTCATTAAAAATCGCTGATTTACTTAATATTCATCCCTTTATATTCATTAATTCCAGAGACCCTGACAAATACAAAGGGACAAATATTTATCCTGTACCACAAGGCGACCTGGGCTTCGACAGGAGCGCCGACCATATCAGCTGGAAACTCCCCTAGAGCATTCAGGAATCCTTCAGGATCCATAAGTCTCCGGGGGCGGATCATTTTAATTGATCCCCCACCCCTTGTTTCGCAGGCTTAGGCATGTGAATACAAACCTTAGATCCATCTCAACCTTTTAAAACGTAACATGTTAATGAAAAAGGAAGAAAGTACTCTGGGTCATATTGCTAGATATCTCATAAAACGATTGTTAGACATGGGGACGGATAAAAAAACCTGAATCACGAAATTCATTAAAAATCGCTGATTTACTTAATATTCATCCCTTTATATTCATTAATTCCAGAGACCCTGACAAATAAAAAGGGACAAATATTTATCCATTTTTATTCCTCCCCCATAGGAAGAGAGGGGAGGCTAGCCTATGGCCTTCCCAATCTGCCTAATGCCCCCCAAACAACTGATTGGCAGGCCCATAGGCAGCCAGGCAGCACCACAGCCACCCACACCCACAGCCTGTCCCTCATCCCCTTCCCTTCCCTCCCTTATCTGTCACTGCCATCCACCACCACCACCTGGCACTGCCACCATCCATCACCATCCACTACGGAAGCCTCTACTGCCACAGCCTGCCATAAGGGACACTGGCTGCCCTTTGCAAAGATGGCAGTTGCGGCTTCCCTTTCCTAAGGGAAAAGGGCAGCCTGGATTCTCTTAACGCAGGCCATGGTGGTGGAGGCCACCACAGCGGACAGTGACAGCAGTGGCACAGACTTCTGGCACGGATGGCGGCAGTGAAGGTAGGGAGGTGACAGGGGAAGGAGGGCAGCCTCAGGCTGTCTGAAAACAACAACAACACCACCAACACCAACCGATTTGTAGTTCATCAGTTCACAGGGAGGACATTTGCGGCTTGTAGTTCATCAAACCAGGATGAACTGCCATTTTGGTGGTTCGTCCCCATCTCTAAATACAATGTAAAAGTGGAAGCCTCTCTTCCTTGGGCACAGTCTTGGGAGTTTTGGGGACCATGAACCGGCTGGGGGAGCGAGCTCCGTGCATGGGTGGCGGGGGCACCCCCACAGTCGCAAGGGATGTTGTGCTTTTGCACAAGGGTGACACCCCCTCTGTGAGCACAACACCCTGCGAGCAGGAAATGGCTGTGCATGAGCACATGACCCTCCATGAGCATGACACACCCCCACATGCGAGCGCACAAGGGTGACACCCCCTCTGTGAGCACGACACCCCCTGCGAGCGGGAAATGCCTGTGCATGAGCACATGACCACCCATGAGCATGACACCCCCCCCACAAGCACAGCACGTCCCCTGCGGGAGTGCGACATGACCCCTGCAGGAGTGCGACATGCCCCCTGCGAGTGCGACACCCCCGTGAGCGCAACACGCCCCCTGCGAGTGTGACATGCCCCCTGCACGAGTAAGACATGCCCCTGACTGAGCGTGACACACCCACCATGTGGGCGGGCAGGGGCGGAGATCCGTCACTGCAGTCCAGTTCCGGCAAGCTCACGGACTGGCACCAGGCTGTGGACCAGGGGTTGCTGACCTCTGCAGTGAAGGAGGAGATCCATCACTGCAGTCCAGTTCCGGCAAGCTCACGGACTGGCACCAGGCTGTGGACCAGGGGTTGGGGACCCCTGCAGTGAAGGATCTACTGAAAGATGCAAATATAGTCATCAGAACAATCCCAACCAATATGCTAAAGGAAATAAACCAGCTCATGTATAACACAGCTACCATAATAGCCATGGAGCTTGGTTAGAAACTGGAAAAAAACTCCTGGCATTCCAAAATGGAAAATTTGGCTGGAAAGAAAAATAAACCAATTATGAGTAGACATTAGCAACTTAACCCACTTAGAAAGACTCAAACGTAAAAATGAAAAAGTAAAAGCCAGATCATTCAAAATATATGACCTAGACAGGTAAGAGTGTCAGGAATTTGGTGACAGGAAAATGCACAGAGTTAATTGAAGACACTGACACGTTCTTCTTCTTTAGCAAGATGGGTGTATTTTACAATAATTACAAATATATACAGGCTGACAGCACGTCAGCATGGCAGGAAATCATTAAACAAACCGGCATAGAGGACAGCAGCAAGTGATAGAGAGAGAAGAGAAATCTATGAACACACTGTTCTCTTATATACATATACAAGGCTTCTTCAGTCCAATCACAGGACACATTACATCATCTTCTGCACCTGGGTGTCATCTCATCGTCAAACATTGCATCATCTCTTCAGCAGTCACAGTGACTCAGCAGTCACACATCTGTTCATAATGGCAGTTAATTAATAACATTTAATCCAGGTTCAGCCTATGTTCAGGCCTATAAAAATTACAATATCCTGACAAAGAGCTACAGAAAAGAAAATTGAAAGATATGATGGATGCTTGAAACAATATAGAGAGAACACATAATTTCAAGATAACCAACAATTATTTTATATATTACTAAGAGAAAATGCAGAGCAAAAGAAATTAGTCCCATGTAAAGAAGATGCTCTAAAATTTTGGAAAGAAATTTGAGAAAGCCAACCAGAAATAACAAAACCCGCTCATGGATTAGAGACATTTGTAAATAAACTCAAGGGAAACATATGGGGGATACTGTAATAGCAACTGAAATGATTCAGAGGCAAGTAAAGGTTGTGAAAAATTGGAATGCACTTGGTCCAGATAAGCTGCATGGATTATGACTAAAGCATTTAACAAATCTCCATCAAAATATAGCAGTGCCATTTATTTACTTACTTCAAAATTCTACAACTAAAGACTGGATGACAACAGGCTGCACATTACTGATAATAGAAGATCATCAAGAGGGCAATGAACCAGTAGCATGGCTTAATAAGAAGCTAATGGCACATACCAAGATCCAGGTCTATAAAGCCTTTGTCCTGAGTACACTCTTGTACTGTAGTGAGTCCTGGACCCTTTGTGAATGGCAGGGGAGGAAGTTGAACATGTTCCATATATGTTGTCTCTGACGCATTTTTGGTATCACCTGGCAGGACAAAGTTCCAAATAGAGTAGTCCTAGAACGAGCTGGAATTTTTATCATGTATACATTACTGAAACAGTGACATCTACGTCGTCTTGGGCATGTCATGAGAATGGCAGATTCTGAAAGATCTCCTGTATGGAGAACGAGTGCAGGCAAGCCCTTGTGTTGTTTTCTGTATCTGTACACCTAGGTAATTTTGTATTGGTCCCAGACTTTTTAATTTAAATTCCTTTTTTAACTGTTTCTCAAACAACTTTATTTGGTTCTGAGTTTTTATCATAAAACAAATGTCATCTACATAGGCTAAAAGTATGTTCAAGTCATTTCCATTTTTCTTAATATAAAGACAAGGATCTGCCAGAGAATGCAATGCTCAAGCTTCTCACAGGAGTACTTGCAAGATTAATATCTAATTATTTAACTGAAATCTCCCTATGTCCAATGGAACAGAAAAGGAGCTTTAAAAAGTCAAGAGGTACGATAAAATCATACTAAAGCATGCAAAAAGACGAAAAACACATCTTAACATGGCCTACATAGACTATAAAAGGCATGTGGTTCATTGTCACAAAGCTGTACTCTCACAGGAGTACTTGCAAGATTAATATCTAATTATTTAACTGAAATCTCCCTATGTCCAATGGAACAGAAAAGGAGCTTTAAAAAGTCAAGAGGTACGATAAAATCATACTAAAGCATGCAAAAAGACGAAAAACACATCTTAACATGGCCTACATAGACTATAAAAGGCATGTGGTTCATTGTCACAAAGCTGTACTAGTGGATGTAGCCACAAGGCAGTGGAGGTTTAAATTCGGAGTTTTCCTTCTCCTAGATGGGCTGCCTTCTAGGGCTGACGAGCCCCACCTACCCGGTGAAGAAAGTTAGCATCAAAAGAGGAATATTTCAAGCAGATTCTTTGTCATCACTGCCATTTAACATTTCACTAACCCCCATGTCAATAGCTTTAAATAAAACTGGCTATCATATAACAAGCAAGAAAAAAAAATCTGTTATACATGGATGCCCTAAAACTATATGCAAAATTTCCAAGGAGATGGAATCACTACTAAACACAGTGTGAATATTTACTGAAGATATTCAAATGAAATTTTGAACTGACAAATGTGCAATACTGTCTAGACACTGTGGCAGGATCCAAAAACTAGATGAAAAATAGAGTTAAAAACTATCAAGTGATCAAAATTATAAATACCTTGGAATACTAGAAGCAGATACCATCCTGCACACAAAAGTTAAAGAACTATCAGAAAGATAAAATATCAAATGATTGCAGAAAATCTTAACATCAAAATTAAATGTTGGAAATGCAATCAAAGCCATAAACAAGTCATTATATTGCTACAAGTAGAGAAAAATTACTGAAGGCAGTAAAAATGGAGAATATTTTGAAAACAACAGAAACAAAGGTACAATATAGGAAACGACAATTTGAAAATAAATTAAACAGTTGAAATAATAAACCACTACATGGACAACACCTGGGAAATATTGGTGGGTAAATTAAACAGTTGAAATAATAAACCACTGCATGGACAACACCTGGGAAATATTGGTGGAAAGCATGATCATAACTCAACATGGTCATGGTTAAAAATGGGAACTATTAAGAAAGAAACTAAATTCCAAACCAATGTGATGAAAGCTAAGATTCAAGGAATTAGTGCTAGCAGAAGATGTCGACTCTGCCAAGAAAAAGTGTCGCACCTCATCTGTAAATGTCCAAAGATTCCATAGACAGATTACAAAATAAGACATGATAGAGTGGCAAAATTATTTCACTGCTCATTATGCAAAAAATATAACTTGTTAGCCTCCAAAAACCCCTGGGAACACCAGATACGCAAGGTGTCAGAAAATGATGATGTCAAATACTGTGTGATTTCTGGATCCAAACTGACAGACACCTTGAACATAACACATAGTCATACATAACACAAACGCTGTAGTAATAGAATGAGGAAATGTCTGGATCATTGACACTGCAATTCCAGGGGATGCCGGAGATGAAAATAATTAGAAAAACTAACAAAATATAGATACTTTTTGAATAACAATATAAAGTGCTGTCAAGTCAATTCTGACTTATAGCAACTCCTTTTTCAGGGGTTTCCAGGTAGAGAATACTCAGAAGTGGTTTCCCATTCCCTTTTGCTGGAAGCATCCTGGGACTATGCTGCTTGCCCAGGGCCACACAGGCTGACTTTACTTTCAAGAGACCCAGTGGGGAATCAAACTCTCAACCTTTGGCTCCACAGCCAGATTCCTAAACCATTGACCTATCCAACCAGATGAAATGATAGATTTTTATGGCCACCACATTCACCTTTGCTTTCTCTTCTGTTCCAGAAAAGACAAATATCAGTCTTTCCTGTCACTTTAGAAAAAATGCTACAGAATGGAACAGTTGCAGAGAAAAATAATTACAGTGGTGCCTCGCTAGACGATTGCCTTGCGAGACGAAAAACCCGCAAGACAATTGGTTTTTGTGATCATCATGGTGCCTCACAAGATGATTTTTTTCTATGACCATGCTTCGCAAGACTTTTTTTTGAGACCGATGCTTCGCAAGACTTTTTTTTTGCATAGGGAACCTCGCAAGACAATTTTTTTCACAAGACGATGATTTTCACAGAACGAATTAAAATTGTCTTGCGAGGCACCACTGTAACTCTCTCAAGCCCAATGTGGTAACACAAACAAACCACCTTGATTTGTGTGAGAAATGAGATGAATATGTGTGACTTACGTTCAAAGCTTCCTATATTCACTATCTAGAAAGGTACTGAATTTTAAAGAATGAAAGCACAACTGCTATGAAATATAGGCATTTATTGTTTACTCTACATAGCACACATTCACTAACTTTATTTCTTTGTTTGGGTTTTCCTGAGACAGGAGGACGTAGATTATACCATCACAATGGAAGAACAGATTAATCTTCTTCTAGAAGCCAAAATTCAGTGTGAGTTAAACATCTCATCTCAGCTCCGTGAAGAAGAAGGTGAAGTATCTAAGTAATCTCCCTGCTTTCGTTCAGGTTTTCAGAATTGTTTTCAGTTTACTGAAAGTAAAATGGAACACTGGGAAAGCACATGACAATCTTACTTTCAGCATTTGGACAGAAGCAGAAGAAATGCATGGAAATTCATCCAGATTGTTAGAGCTGCTTTGTGCTTTACAAACCTATCAGACATAGTATGACTGTAAGACACAGTACATTTAATAGTTGCAGTTCTGTGATGAACTTGATTTTTGTTTCTATTTGAATCAAATTCCATATGACTGACATTATAATTATTTGGGTCTTTGACCGTACAATAAATTCATTCATTCATTCATTCATTATAATTATGGATAAGAGTTACAAAATATATGATGAAGGTGTTGCTGTAATCCAGGCAGCTTAAAAAAGGATTTTAAAACACAGATATTAAAAGCATTTAAAATACAATATATTACACTATTAAAAATGAAGGTGTTAATCTTAAAAATACTAAATAGAAGCTCTTTAAAACAATTTAGAAACACATTTAAAAAGATAAGGAAGACAAGTGTCCCATTAAATCCCCTTCTTGAGCAATGGTTTACTTCTTAAGGAAGGAAACCTGTCAGGGAAGAAGTTCCACAACCCCTGAGAGAAACCCCTGGAAAGAGTTTCTCCTGCTTCCGCACAAATTGTGCCTGCCAGGGGGAAGAGGGCTTCCCTGAATATCTGAAAACCCAGGGAGCCTCAAGTTGTTTAGACCAGCACTTGGAATTGTGCTAGGAATCAGGCCAGCAGCCAATGAAGCTACAGTGAAGTTGCAATCTGCATATGGTTAAACTGACATATTCAAATAGTTTGTTTAAAGCTGCTGCCTCTAAAGGCAGAATAGCAAGTTGGATGATGTCCAATTTTTCGTAGGAAAAGAAAGAGAAGAAATAAAAAAGAAATAAAGAAAAGCAGAAATGTGGTGATACTTAACTAAAACTGGAGAATCGAGATAAATTTGTGGAGAAATGAAAGCAGATTTAAAGTTGGATGCAAAAATACCAGTAAGTCAAAGAAGACAGAAAATATGAAGTAGTAAAAAATAAAGGAATTGTTTAGGAAATAAATGGTTTAAAATTGATTATAAAGAAACATAATAGTTTCTCATGATAACCTATCAGAAGAAGAAGGAAGGCATTTAGGAAAATAAAGGGGCTCGGGAACAGAAGCAATAAATAATTTGGCAAAGGTTTAAGGAGCAGAAGGATAGAGATTAACTGGTGGAAATAATATGAAGAGAAGAAAGATAAAGGTTGGGGGGATAACAGCTTGTTTCATGGAGGAAAGACTAGAAGAAAAAAAGTAAGTGTAGATTTATAGTGAAGGAGAGCAGGATGTGCTCTAGCATTTTGCAACCCAATTATAAAAGACTATGCCCAGAATTCTGTCTGTTTTTTATGTGTACATAGGTGAAAATGTAGAAATTGCAGGGAATAATTTAAGCTAATTAATTAAGTGTTGGCCCTGTGCCTGGTCAAGCAACATGATTCTAGCAAAAGACAAGGAATGAATCAAGGTTGGAGGAGGAGGAGGAGAATAAACAAAAGCAGGCGCCAAGAAATGAACTGTAGTCGAATGAAGACAAATAAATCACTGTAGCATCCACAGAGGAAGAAGTGAAGGGGTCAAAAGCAGAGGGACAATCTTAGAGGAAGAAATGTGAGAAGCAGGAGCATGTAAGCTCCTAAAGGTTTTAACTAGGTAGAGTCTAGTAAAATTGTTAAATGGAAGGGATTTTGAGAGTGGAAATAAGAAACTAAAAAAGTGAAAAACCAAGGGTTTTTATTAATGACTGGCAGAATGAGTATAAGGTGCAAAAAGAATGGAGATTGCAAAGGAACTAAAAAGATAGAAGACTGAGCATTAAAGACTTCCTGTCGGTCTTCTGTTACAAGAACTGGTGAGATTCAGCAAGGAGGAAAGTCAGATTTCAAACTTAAATGGAAAATCAAAGTACAGAATATTACAAATAGCTTGATGGTCAAAATCAAGAGAAAAATATGATGGGGGAAGGCAAAGGGAAAAACAAGGAAGAGCTGAAATTCCTGCCCCCACTGCCAACCAGTTGATCCAAATAAATGAGGCGGGGGGGGGATAATTGTTGTATGCCACTAAGGTCATTGAGTCAGAAGGTGGTATCCAGGACCTAGTTAAAGCAAAATGAGAAAAATGGAGGAGGAGAAGGCAGTGGTGAGAATAAAAGATAATAGATTAACATAATACATGCATCAATTTAGGCAGACATCAAGTCCTTGAAGTATAGTGGTCTGGATTCAAAAGAAGCTAACCTGTATTATAACATAAAAGTAACTATAATGGGCAAGGCAAATAAAAAGCAACAGAGAAAATAGCACTTCAGTGGAAATGTTTCTGAATCACTGAAGTTTTCTTCCCACACATCCATATTCAATACAAAGCCAATACTGAAACAAAACACCCCCTTCCCATCTTGGTTCATTTCTCCTGCAGTGAAACAGAGGAGACAGAAGTTTTATTCATTATTCTGTTGAGGTCATTTTATCATCAGCTTTTGAGAATGAGCTATTTTGATGTACCCCCCCCCTTTTTTTTGAAGAAAGATTGTCTGGGAAATCTTGTTCTATTAATTAATTTTAATAATCTCAAATGGCCAAATCCTAGTGTCTTTGTACTTATTGACTGAAACAGCAGCTGAAATCTTATTGCTTAATATAGTAAGTTGCACTAGGGTAGGCCCATTTGAATCAATCGGGAGGTGTTGATTCACCATATCCCCACAGATTCAATGGACCCTACTTTAGTGCAACTTACTACACTAAGGTGCAAGATTTCAGCCAATATGAAAGGAGAACAGCTCATTTCTATCTTACTAGCTCACTAAGCAATTGGATAGAACACTGTTGTTGTGTATGTCCCAGGATAGCTTTGTTATAGCATGAAAAACCATGGAGAATATTCACAAGAGGAAGGGTGTGTTCTTCTCTCATCCTATCCATCCCTGCTTACTTTAGCTTGTAACACATGGAGGGTGATAAAAATGTGAAGAGGGTGAGCTCTGCTATTTTGTTTTATTTTATTTATTTCCTGTTTCTCTCCCGATAGACGTCTGGGACATTCTAGAATCAGAAAATGGATTTTCCAGGCTACGGATTCAAGTAGAAAATCCCTATGAGTAGTGGAGGGTGTCCTTTTTCAGACTTGTTGCCCTCCAAGAGGGCAATGGTTTCTTAATATCTAAACAGGGCTATCCTCTAACTAAAACTGCCTCTCCTGCAAATTCAGGAAATGAGGGTGGGTGACACTTTAATCAGATCACTAACATCTCACAATCGGGCGAGCTTTCAAGCTCTGCAGAACATTTAATCAGACTGGGCATTGCATAACTTGGCAGAGTAGGGAGGGAGAGAATCTTAGAAAGTCTTAAAATTCATCCTGGGCAGATACTAAAGTCAGGTTGTCTGGTTTAAAGTAAATTCTAAAATGGAGTCTTCAGCCTTTTGGAATCAGCTTGAAGTAGCACGTTTCACCTCAAGGGATGTAGATTTCATTCCTCTTCCTTGATCTCTATAGACCAGTGGTTCTTAACCTTGGCTCACTCAGGTGTTTTTGAACTGCAGTTCCCCGAAACCCCAACCAGCACAGTTGGTGGTGAAGGCTTCTGGGAGTTGTGGTCCAAAAACACCTGAGTAACCCAAGGTTAAGAACCACTGCTATAGACAAAGGGCTGTCCATCAAGCAGTGTCTTTCCCATTGCTTTATATTTGGCTGGGAACAGAGGCACACAAAAACATGGCAAATTTGTTAGAACCCCTGCAGGTCAAATTTAGTTTGTATAGTAGGTAAAAACACACTTCCTTGCAGCCAAGTGAAGAGCGTTATCCAGTAGCTGGAGGAAGGTGGTAGTTCATCCCAGCCCATCCTGAGTGAGGGCGAATCTCTCTACTGTGGATGTAGAATCCAGCTATCTTCTATAGTCCAATAAAGGAGAAAGAAGCTGTATGGTTCTTATGCAGTCCAAGAACAACGATGGGTGCTGCCTGCCAGTTCTGCTCCACAAACAGGCACTTCGTACTGCTAACCCCATTTTCTTATTAGCCTTTCTGCCACATCCAGTACTGGCAGGAAAACTGCTTAAACTTGGATATATGAAGAAAGCGTAGTATGTAGCCCTTAAAGATAACTTTCCCAAGCTTTGTAATGGAGGAATTGAATTATGCTAGTTGCACTGATGTGGTCAAACCATACAGGTGCTGCCTCACCTGTAGAGTGAAGTTCACACGTTTCGACTTTCCCAAGCTTTGTAATGGAGGAATTGGATTATGCTAGTTGCACTGATGTGGTCAATCCATACAGGTGTTGCCTCATAGAAACTTTACAATACAGAGTGAAGTTCACACGTTTCACACCGTTGCCCTCAGTGGATGACAAGACTTAATGATAATGGTTTCCCTTAATTATATTTTATCACCTGAGCTTTTAGCTAGCTCTTCCTTAGTCTGGTTATCGCAAAGTATGTTCTCCTGTGCACATAGAATCCATTGATTTCTGATAAACAAGGTTCTATCCAATTCAATTTGTTTGTGCTCTTTGTTCCCTGGAGAATTATGGACGATTCAAAAGTTAGCCCAGTATTTTTAGCAATCTACTTTCTGTTTTCCTTGCTGAGCTTTTTTGGGGGGGATGGTGGTGGTATTGCAATCTGTGGCCATAGGAAGATCCTTGGTGGCTTAACCACCATGTACTTTATCCTGTTCTGAGGTGGGAAGTGTTGCTCTTTAAGGCAGCTTGGCCAGTGGAGTTGAAGTCCAAAAGGAAAGTAACTTCTCCTGCCTTTGGTCTTTCTGGAACAGCATCAGCTAGTTGAATGTAGGAGAAGGTGGTGTTTCTCCTTTTGTATTTTGTAGCCATTTTCTTGTTTCTTTTTAACTTTTCCGTTCTCTTGTTTTCTGAAAAGGAAATGCACCAGCTTGAAAGCTAGAGCAGTTTTTTTTTGTCTGTTCCTGGGACATGTTGGGGGAAAACAGGAGAGGTTTTGATCATGATAATCCAAAACCTCCCCTGATCTATTGACTGTCATCTTTTAAGCTAGCAAATGTAAATGAACGGGAGTGAGAGGAAGTCAACAATCCAGGTCAAGCAGTGAGTAGGCAGGACTAGGTTGCAAGGAGCATGCATGAGTGGAGTCAGAGAAGAGAGTCAGTAGTTCAAGCTAATAAATTATATACATACCAACGTGATAGGACCAAGAAGGAGCAAGAGGTCTAGGAGTTTAGGCCAATGCGATATAAAAAGAGCTAGAGCAGAAGGTGATTATAAATTGCTTCCAGCAATCTGGTTTTGTGTGGGCTGGTGGCACCTGTTCACTGTGGTCTTGGACCTCTTTGAGCTGGCTCCTGTCAGTTATACACTGCAAGTGTCTGGCTCTGAGATGCCCATACCGCTTCTGTAATGTTCAGTACTCCAAAATCCAGAGCTGTCAGCACTCATTCATCAAGCTACCCCCACCTCCTGGATGGGTCCCCACTGATAGGGCAGGCACTTTCTCAGTCAGCAGTCTCTCTGGTACAGGGGCACCAGCTTGTGCCTTAAGATTCTCCCTAGCCCTGATCACCCCCCTGCTGAGGCAGGTTGGCTGCAGCTCATCCACCAAAGAAGACTCAACCAAGCAGAGCATGATGGCCATTTTGTCCTCTCTGCTCCCCACGTTCAGCAGTGTCTGTGACGCTCCTGTTGTGGATTTCCAACGTGTGATTTCATCCTCATACACAAACATCTGTCTTGAGGGTGGAGAAAAAGTTCTTCTGCATTCTGTACTGCTTACACCCCTCTCTTTGCAGGAACGATATGGTTGCTGCTAGAATACATAACACTACATTGGCAAATAATACAGGAAATGATCTTGGTTGGGGACAACCAGATTTGCATTATTTCCCATTGATTACACAATATACAAACCAATATGAAGCAGAGTGCAACTACACAGGGAAAAATACTACAAGTATAGGGTGGGCTGATTCACATTTTTCCACTCATCACATGATGCAATGGGGAATACGAATCAGCCCAGAACCCATAGTTTTTCCTTTTCACCAGAGGACCTTCTACTTTTAAAAGAATTTGAACCCTTTCCCACTGATTCAGGCATGTGATTGCTTGAACTGATGGAGAAAGGAAGAGATGCACATGCACACACAAAAAGCACCTCCCCCTCACCTCTTGCCTCACAAAATGCTCATGCAAGCACGCACATGCACATACAAACAGTGCTAGTACTCACTTTTTTGTTTTGCAGCTTCTGCTTGTTAGACAGAGCCCCTGTTTATTTGTCTGTTCCAGTTTATTACATCTCTCCCTCAGTAGACCAACCCATATTTGGTTAGTTTGTCTCAACTGACATTTACTGTGTCAATACATTCATTCAGAGACTCTGCTAATTAAAAACAATACAAGGTTTCTGTTTACTTACAGTTCTTTATATATCAAAACAAATATATTGTGTGGAAAACTATTAGCTGAGCTTAAGTGGTTATCTTATTTCATGCTTTCTAGCTGACTGACTGGTTACATAGCTGACAGAACACTTCACTCTGTCTTCAGACTTCATAATTAACTCCGATTCTAACAATTACAAAACCCTGACTAGAAAAAAAAAAGCGAGAAAAAGAATAGAGAGGGAGTTATTGGATGCTATTTAAAGAATAGAGAGGGAGTTATTGGATGCTACTTAGTCGACTGACATTAAACCCCAGTCCAGAAAAGTCCCTAACCAAGACCTCTTAAAAGGCATCATATCCAGGTTGTAATACAGTAGTGTATTCCAACACTACAGGCTTTTTTTGTCATCTGCCTGTTGCCACCTAAATGGAAGAAAACTGAATCCCCTTGTGCGACTTCACAGTGAGAGAATGTGAGTGAATTCATATGTCTCTCACTGTATAGTTACACCCTTAGCCTGGAGTTTCTCCCCAGTAATCTAATTTTTCCCCAGTGCCATTGGGGCTTCTACTCTTTTTTTGGTAGCAAATGCATTCCCATTGATTCAGTTTTTCCCCAGTGCCACTGGGGCTTCTACTCTTTTTTTTTTTGGTAGCAAATGCATTCCCACTGATTCAGACAACGTGTTTGCTTGTGCCAACAAGGAGGGGGGGTGGTAGCCATTTTGTTTTGAGACATCTACCTGTTTAGAGCAGCACTGAGAGAGTGGGCCCATGAAAAACTGGATGTCATTTGAATACTCTTGTCTCCAAACCTGGTGCCCAAGTCTGCTTGCTTTTGTCTTCCCTTTCCTTCCTTCCTCATTCCCTTTCTCTTTTTAAAAAAAGTCTTGGTGCTGTTGTGCTATGATACCTAGAAGACCAAAAGGGGAAAAAGGCCAAGGAGTCAACAGAAATTGAGGAAGAAATTGTTAATCAATGCTTCTTTGCAGCTTGTTAAGGTGGCTCTGCTACAGCCATGCCTCCTACAAATCTGGACAGCCACAGCAGAGCTATGTTAACAAGCTGCAAATAATGCTGGCAGCCTATTTCCTCCTTGCTTTCTACTGACTCCTGTGTGCTTGTCTTCCTAGATCTGTTTGTGTTTTTTTTGTTGTGTAGTTGCACCCCTATACTATAGCTAGACAGGAAAGCTGTCTTGCAATGTTTTCAGCTAAATGTTGTTTATTCCTCATGCACTGTGGTATTTAAATTGATCTTTCCATTAATGGGACAGATGGGTATGGGACAGAGGTGGGTTGAGTGGCTTTATGTCATGTAGTCTCCATAAAATGGATTACACTTGACCAGGGCAACAAAAATGGGGATAAATGGTAATGTGGTCACCCTCTTATACTGCTGTCCTATATATGCCTGTGCAGAAGGAGCACCATTTGAGTTTATTAGAGTTTTTTCCCAGTAAGGGAGTATAGGATTTTAGGCCCAGCATCTGAGAAGACTGTCACTCATCCATGAAAGCAATTCTTTTGGCTTTGGACAAATTGTTTGGTTTTATCTGTCTTATCTCACAGAATAGTTGGAGGAGATAAAAATTTGTTTAGGAAAAGAAGAGGAAGCAAATACTGTATGAGAAATAAATAGGCTGGCTCATTACTTTCCTGAAGAAACTCAGATGTAAACAATCCTGTATTGTGAGAGTTAACTGGAAAATTCTATTATGATTGCAATTGCAATCAAGTACATTAATATTGTATACCTGATGGTAAATTTCACCTGTAGCATACAGGGATGTCCTTGTGTTTGTGTTGTCCATGCCTCATGCACAAATCAAGAGATTATTTTAAGTTCCTCTTTGATCTTATTCGCCATTAACATTGACTTGGCAAATATTTGGGAACTGTTTTCAAAAGATGTAAAAAACAAAACATCAGAAGGACCACGTTGTCTTTTTCTCATGATTTTCTGTGGCTTCTGTTTCCAGAATTTTTGTTTCCCTTTCTTCCTCAGGAGGTGAATGCTTTCCAGAATGGGATGGTCTAATTTGCTGGCCAAAGGGGTCACCAGGGAAAACATTAGCTGTCCCATGCCCTTCTTATATATATGACTTCAATCACAAAGGTACCAGCTGTGGGCTTCTGGTTGTGTTTATCTTTCAAAAAACAGCTGGGGCAGGGCGTAAACATCATTAAACTGTCAGAATATTGTGTTTTCCTTGCAGGTATGGCATTCAGACACTGTAGCTCAAATGGAACATGGGCTTATGTGCAAAGCTTAAACCGAACATGGTCCAATTATTCGGAATGCCTTCATTTCCTGAAGAGAGAAATCAGCCCAGGGAAGGTACGGGCTTTTTCTTCAGTAGAGAAGTTTTGATGGTAAACCAACTTTTGCCAGGTTGTGGTGATTGTGCTGACAACCTTGGGGACTTTTATTGACTCCCTTTGGCCATCAAAAAGCCACCCTCTAAATTCACGGTGAATAAGCACCATCTATTTTAATCCAAGCAAGAAAGTGGATCCATAAGGTAATGATTTGATAGGACATGTGCTGGTCTGAGGTTAGCCTGTTCTAAGGGAGCTTCATTTTTCTGTAATTATCCAGGACACGTCAAATCTCCAACATCAGAATGACTGCAGATTCTCCTATAGTGAATAGAAATTGCATTCTGATGACGTGACTTCATTAAGGAGAAATGAGAATCCATTCATAAAACTCAGGTGCCATTATGCAACAGTGATGCTCATCAGAATGTTTTCTCTCAAGTGAGGATGACAAGATGAGCACCCTTGTACAACAATAGAAGCTTCTTAGCGGATTTTGCCTTCATCTATGATCAAATCATTTTGACTAGGGTCTGACCATGATAAGTGGTGCCATCAAGTGTGCTCTATATTGAATTCTCTTAATGGGTGTATTTTAGAACTACATGGTGCCTCGCTTAACGAGTGCACTGTTTAACGACGAATCCGCATAGTGATGTGGATTTTGCGATCGCAAAAGCGATCGCATTGCGATGTTCCTAATGGCCAAAAATCGCATTGCAATGATCGGTAAGCGTTTCGCTTACCGATCTTTGCATTGCGATGTTTTAAAAACAGCTGCCGGAAGAAAATGGCCGCCGGAAGAAAAAATGGCTGCCCGCAGCGTTTTCGCGCGGTTTCCTCGCATACCGGGTGGTGAAAATGGTGGCTGTATGGAGGATTTCCGCATGGCGGTGAGTTTTCCCCCATAGGAACGCATTAAATGTGTTTTAATGCGTTCCTATGGGGTTTTTAGTCCCGCATAGTGACGAATCTAGATAGCGACGATTTTTTCAGAACGGATTATCGTCGCTATGTGGGGCACCACTGTACTTTACTTTTGGGGGGGAAATAAATAGGGATAACAGTTAAATACCAAAATGAAAAAGATGATCCTGGAAGACCTTCTGTTATTCTTTCCTCTAGAGGGAATTCTTTGAACGACTCTACGTTATGTACACAGTTGGGTACTCCATCTCCTTCAGCTCCCTGGCAGTGGCCATTTTCATCATTGGCTATTTCAGGTGAGTGAGTCACATACCTGACCTGACCGTTCTCTTTGAACATTCCAACCAAAGAGTAAGAATATTTTATATTCCAAAGGCCGCATGCTGATAAAAGATAGAGGGAGCAGAGCTGTAACTAGTAATTTTGGCATTCAGGGCAAGCAGCATAAAATGCAACACCAAATAAACTTTGTAATTCACAATGTGAAAATAATCTAAGATGTAATTATAGCACTGAACACCTTGACAACATCTCGTTTCCTCCACAGGGGATCAGCAGCACTGTTGGAACTGCAAAAACAAAAATAAATTAGAAAAATTTAATACACACACACACATTCAGGCATGCATACATATTACAAACTATATATATAATTTAGCATACCATACATATTAAGCTGACTTTTTCTGATGTCCAATCCAAATACTATTTTAGTGAGGCCTGGATAGATCTTCCCTCCAACAGGAAAGGACTAGTTTAGCCATGATTCAGGGAGGTTACTCCTCCATCTTGTGGCTGCACTGCCTGCTCCTTCATGGCCTGGCCAGAAATCTGGTCACTGACAGGAGAGGCCTGGTCTACCATCATCTGGGGAGACCAGCTGCCTCTCTGGACAACTACACCCTACTCCTCCTCCAGGCCAGAGTACATTCTACCAAGCATTAAGTAGACTAGCTCTCCAACAAGAAAGGTATGGTCTACTGAACTCCAAGTAGATCTTCTGTCCCAGATGTCTACTAAACCCTGTCTAGATTGTGGCTAGTCAATCCATCTCATATTTGGAAGATCAAATATGAGATGGATTTATTCCATAAAAGAAACTGCAGCTACTAAGCAGGACTACTAAGGACAGGACATTTTTGAGATCACTGATTCATAGGGTCACCATTAGTTGACCTTAATGCAGATAACAACAACAAGACCTGCCCATAGATGGGGAAGGCCTGATCTAATTATAATCTGGGTGGCTCAACCACCCTTTAGGACAATAATGCCTCCTGCTTGTCTGGGCCAGAGGGACAGTGTACTGACCCCTGGTTAGACATTACCTCTGCTGTCTCAGCGAGGCCTGGTATACTGATGATTAGGGTTGCACTGCTTTTCATTATTGTTACTATCATCACAACTCACAGAATTCTGTGAGAATTCTTTAGCCAGAATTCTGGGAGTTCCAGTCGACATACTTGCAGATATCTTTCACTCATTGGGGCAAGAAGAAGGCCTTCTAAGCCTTCATTTCCTGCTGCAGTGCTTCCTGGAAGGAAGCTCTTGCAATATTTCCTGCAGGTGGTAGTCTCCTGACTCTTTATACTCTGTAGAGTGTACTTCCTGAAGAACTACCACCCCCAGAAAGCATTCCAGGTATGTCATGCTGGCTATTATTATATGGATCATTACTAGATGATCTTCTTGCTGTACTGGCATTAGTTCTCCAGAATCTTTCCCAGGTCTGCTGTCTGAAAAGATTAAGCAAGAGAACTCAGGATCAAAGTGATCTGGTGGATATATAGTTCCCCCCTTTCTAAAAACATAGATAAGCAATTGTGTGTTACATTCACGGTCTTCATGTTTGTTTTTATCCTTCCCTTTTTTTAGTTGGGATCTAAGCCTTCATTTCAAAATATCACAATAGACTCAAAATATCACAATGGCCACTAGCCGGATCATTTTTAAAGTATTAAAACAAGTTAAGGAAGTAGGCAAATAATTACCCACTAACCAGATTTAGCTGAATGGCTCAACAATAAGGAATGGAGGTGTGGGTTTCCTTTGCATTCTGTTGTATTTTGTGGAAAGCAGGGTTGCAGGCTAGGTCTGGTCCAACTGGGCTCTATTTTTTTAACAAGCTTCCTTACTGTAGTTTCTTCTCTCTACAGGAGGCTCCACTGTACCCGGAATTACATACATCTCCATTTATTTGTCTCATTTATGCTCAGAGCTACCAGCATCTTTGTTAAAGACAAAGTAGTTCATACTCATATAGGAGTCAAAGAGCTTGACACAGCATTCATGGGCGATCCACGAGATGTGATAGTGGCTCCAGTCACAGACAGGTCTCAATATGTAAGCCCTTCCCCTCTCTTCTTACCCTGTTTGCTTTGAGCTGCAATAATCAGATTATATGCAAATATTCTCTCTCATCTGCTCAGTACATGAGGATACTTCTGGTAGAACCACATGACTCATGCCGAGAAGCCATGAGTATTCCATAATTTCCCTTGCATCCATGACAGGATCCAGTCCATGTTTATTCCAGATTGCTTAAAATTCAGTGCTGGGCTCCAAACAGTGTACAGCAGTGGTCCACAACGTTGGGCCTCCAGATGTTCCTGGACTTCAACTCCCAGAAATCCTGGCCAGCAGAGGTGGTGGTGAAGGCATCTGGGAGTTGCAGCCCAAGAACATCTGGAGGCCCAATGTTGGGGACCACTGGTGTAGAGGATAAGCAAACTCAGCCTCAGAGCATGAAGAAGTTTATGCTATGGCTGCTGGAGATGTTGAGAGATGGAAGTCTGAAAAGGAGGGTTTCCCAAGCATTGCTTAGAATAGGAATCTCCTGGAACATGCTGAGGATTTTTTTTAATAAATAGATTCCAGACTGACATCCCACTGTAGCACAGTTTGAACCATTTCAGTTGCAGCATTTCTTCACCCCTGAGTCGACTGAGCTGCAACAAAACTGTGTGAAAATATCACAGGAATCTTGGCTTATCACAGGATTGTGCCAAGAATCCAGGCTAGAGGAGTGTATGACTTGGGATAGGGCGTTACAGGATAGCATAGTGTGTAGCAGCTGTGATGAGGGAAGAGAGAGGGAGAAGGTCTGAATGCAAGAGGGCATCAAAGTTGCATCCTTGAAGGTCTTCCACATGACTGCAATAGGCAGTGATTTTGGCAAGCAACTTGTGTACTGAAACCCGCCCCGCCATTTTCAAATTACCCTATTTCACTGCATGTATGCTGCACCATACCATAACACCAGTTTCCAGAAATAGAGCTGATCTGAGTCTGGCAGTAGTAGTAAGGGAACCACTTAAAATATTTCTGACTGCTATTGTTCTCTCAGGTATTAACTATGAGTCACAAATTAATATGGGAAGAAAGAAAAAAAAGAACAGTAACATTTCATGAATAATTTTAACATAAAACATTGCTTTGTTTTGGCTGTTACGCTTCATTATGTCTAATTAAGAAGACTTTGAAAGGAGAAAGGCGAAAGTCAGCCTTCAAGTATGTCATTAGATTGTGTTTCCCCACCTGAAACAATAGAATGTCCTTGTTTTGGCTTGATTGGCAGGTGTGGTGCAAGATTGCCGTGGTGATGTTTATTTATTTCCTGGCAACCAACTACTACTGGATCTTGGTCGAAGGCCTCTATCTCCACAGTTTAATATTTGTGGCTTTCTTTTCGGATACCAAGTACTTGTGGGGGTTTACCTTAGCAGGCTGGGGTGAGTTATTTTTTTCCATCATTCAACTAATGTCTCTCCTTTTAAACCTACATCGGAACTGTTCATTCTAAAGTTAATGAATCTTCACTTCATTATTTCTCCCATGTTTAATTCTTTGTTTTATTAACCACAAAGTCAGAAGGAAGTGTGTATGTACTGCAAGATCATGGGGTTGTATTTTGACTAACACTGTAGTTCTGTGTATGCTTATTCAAAAGTTAATGTGCTTAATGTCATTAATTACAGTTACATCCTATTGAAATCAATTTGAAAATTCAAGTTCCATTTATGCAATCTAATCTGGGCTTAATCAGATGTACTGTAAATCTTAGTGGGGTTTAATTCCAAATTAGTGTGCATAGGATTGCAGATTTAGTGTGTATCTATCCCCAAAATGATTTTATTTTAATATTTTATGATAGAGAAATATATTTTTAAAATATGTTATATAGATTATTTTTGAATTAAGGATTCTACAATATACAGTATTATACTACTAGTATTATATTTCAGGATAAGGAAAAACATGAACATGGAGGAACAATTTCATAATCTTTTATTTTCCCAATATTATGCAATAGCAGCTATTAGAATGTTTCCATTAAGACAGTTTGGAAATCCTTGGAGCATTAATAGATTAATTATGTACTAATTCAGGTTTCATTTTCTACCTGTATACCGATCAACAGCAAGAAGATATTCAGTTGACCCAGCCTCCCCATCCTTCCTGCAGGTGACATGATTAAACAGTTCCACTTTCCTTCTAGCCTTTCCTAGCTGAAACCCTCAGTTTGACTTGGAGGGTTGTGTATAATAGTCCCCATCTGGAAACTACAAGTAGAAAAAAGGGTCACCTTTGCAGCTTTCTTACTAGTGTGGGTGTGGAGCGTTCTACTCTGAGAATATCCTGCTGTGATCTACATGTGCCAGGCATAAAAATAAACATATTCATCAGCTATGAAACTCCAGCTCCCCACAGCAGAAATCTTTAGAGATGGCAGCAAATAATATGATCACGTTTCACAGCTCAGTGTTGGAGCTGAGTGTATTTGGGTAGCTTTGGGATATGTCTGTACTATAGACTGAAACTGATTTAACAATCCTTCCCTTTCCTGAGGGAACTCTGAAAACATCAGTTCTCTGAGGCAGGATGTGTGTGTGTTCATGTGTGCATACGTGCTCACAGGGTGTAGGCATCTCCAGTAGAATTCTTCATGCTGTCATAGATTAGTGTCCCCAAATTATTCAGGGAGAGCTAGGTAGCTCTAGGAAAGAATCCTCTCGTGGTAGTTCCATTAGATTCCATTAGGGCCTTATGGCCATGCTGGACCATGCTGGCTGGAGGGAAGTATTTAAAAAGACTGGGTGTTTGGCCTCTGTCAGTTTTGCTGGCTCGATTTCATTCCCATCTGCACAGTAGTTCTTGATTGCATTTGGAGAGCTGCTTAGCTAGTGAAATTTTTGAGACCGGACACCCCCCGCCATGCAATCTCTGCTGTGGCAATGCTGTTGTGCCTGCATGATGTGAGTTTCGATGCACACCTTAAACTGGAAGTAATTATATGTTGATGACCTCCATGGAATTGTGCTGGTTAAGATGCAAGGTCTGTAGTTCCATTTTTCATTTTAAGCAAGAAGCAAGGGTGGATAAATCTAAGTTTTCATTCCTTGTTAAACAATGGCATCCTGGAGCTACCTCAACTTTTCACAGCTAAGAGAAGTTCGGTGTGCATAACATGATGGAGCACAATAAAAACAGAACGTGCAAAAGTCACTCTTTTATTCTCCAGCTCCCAAAAACCCCTAGCTACAGATGGCTATGGGGAATCCTGGGCCTCGTAGTCCAACAGAGTAACTTTTTATGAGCTTTACTTATACTAAATCAATATATAGTCTGCTGGAGGTTTTGCAACCTCACATCCTGCACTGGGATGACTGTCATTCTATCCAGTACTAACTAAATTTTCCCTCCTGCCTCTGATTTTCCCCCTCTCTGTTGTTGGTTAAAAGCAATTAGTCTGTTGAGGCCTGTTGCTCAAAGTAGTCATATTTTTAGTTTGCTGTTACTCGTTCACTGTAAGTAACAAAACCTTTTATTCTTTTTACTATTAATATCTGAGAGGGAATTACTGAGACTATAAGTACCAGCTGATGAGAAAAAGGGGTGGAATAATCTGGGGAACTTGAGGGTCTTCTACTCTTCTGTTGGGCAGCTAGAGGGATTTAACCAAAATTCAAAACTATGCAACGTAGTCCCATACTATGTATTCTGAACTAGCACAGGTGCTCTGTATCCTCAGGAAAAGTTCTATCCAGTCCTGCAATCAACAATCATTTTTTTAAAAAAACAAGGAAACACCATGTACTGAGCCTGAAAAACTAAAGTCTTAGTGTTCTGTCACTGAGTCAGAAAAAAAGTTCAGAATATAAGAGGGTTATATGCACCATCAGACCAAAGGGTTCATCTAGTCAAGAATTCTGTTCCGCACATTGGCCAATGAGATGCCTAAAAGCAGGAGAGGTACCACTCTGCGTTCTCCCATGTTCCCCAGCTGCTCTTTCTGAAAGGCATGTGATCTCCAATCTGCAGCCAATTCTGTTAGCATATACATTAAGTTAGGATCTGTGCTTCATATACATAATAGGCTAGAAGATTTTTATCTTGCCCAGCTCCCTATGCTTCTGTGAAGCTTACACTGTTTCTGATGACTTCACAAGTGCCTCACCATGATGTTCACACATTGTTCATAAAATCTCTGCTTAAATAATTGTGAGAGCTTTTGGTGTACCGTAGGACCCCCATATCTGCTGGGGATTGGTTCCAAGCCCCTGTGGATACTGAAAACCACAGATAATTGTGAACGCTATATTTATAACATGATAAAAAGAAGAAAAACCCAGCAAAAATATTTTCACATGCATTATCAGAACTGGCCATTAGAGGGTGCTAGAGACCATGCTATGTGTCCTTCACAAGTATTCATAGCATGGTCTCTGGCTCCTTCTAGTGGCCAGTTCTAGTAATAAATGTGAAAATAGTTTTTTTTCTGGATTTTTTTTCTTTTAATATTTTCAGACAGTGGATAAATGAATCAGTGGTTACAGATTCTGTGGATAATGGGATCTTATTGTACCGCAAACTCAGCAAATCTTATGTACCCAGAAGGAAATAGATTACTCTCATGTTGTATAGAACCAAACAATTTTAAAATGTGTTTTCCTCACAAATTTGAAACTGTGAAACCCTTACAGAGTTTTCATCCAAAGATAAGCAGCATAGTTCACATCCCCTTTATTTTAGTTTAATGTTAGCAATGTGGCAATCTTCTTGAAGTCCAAACAACGTCCTGAGTGATAGTGAATGCCTCACTGGAAGTAGGCCCGCCCTATGGAAAACCATACAACTTACTCCCAGATAAGCTGCTAGAATTGAGATTTCCCTCATCAAATCATGTGCATTTTATCTATACTGTTTGATTTACTCCTTAGTCATAGTAACAATTTACCTTGAAAATACTGCACTGAGTCTCTTTTTGGAGAAAGGCTTGATAAAAATGAAGTAAATAAATAAATAATTTTCTGTCATTGCAAATGTGCCTTCATAGGACTAAAAACATGAAGAACCTTGGTGCCCTGGATCCATTCCAGTATACTGAGGAATCTAATTCTGTTCTCTCTCAGCCTCTCAATTGCCCCTTTGAAACTAGCAATGGACGTAAACTGCTGGTTTGGGGCTGAACAAGTGTTTGGCGCTTCCACTCAGAGGCAGTGCCCTGAGGATGTCGGGCAGGGAACCTGGGGCGCTGCCTATGAGTGGGCACCCTCCAGAGGAGACAAGGCTCGGAAGTGCTGTTTGTCTGAAAAATGAACCAGCACAAAGCTCTGAATTGGCAATTCATGGCCACCTCTAGTCAGAAGTTTTGTATTGTAAGCAGTAAGCTTACACAGAGAACACTCACATGCAATGGTTTCAAGAAAAGGACCCGCATGTCGTCAGTGTTAGAAGTATGATGTATTAGGAAGGCAAAAGTAGGATTGCTGTTTACCTGCAGTGTCAGTTTCAGCTTTTCTACAGAACCTGTTGGACCATAGTCTCTTGAGACTGAAGGATGCCTACTACATGTCCAACTCTTCGTGACCCCATGGACCAGAGCATGCCAGGACCTCCTGTCTTTCACTGCCTCCCGGAGATGGGTCAATTTCATGTTGGTTGCTTCGCGGATACTGTCTAGCCATCTCATCCTCTGTTGTCCCCTTCTCCTCTTGCGTTCACACTTTCCCAACATCAGGGTCTTTTCCAGGGAGTCTTCTCTTCTCATGAGATGGCCAAAGTACTGGAGCCTCAGCTTCACGATCTGTCCTTCCAGTGAGCACTCAGGGTTGATTTCCTTTAGAATTGATAGGTTTGTTCTCCTTGCAGTCCAGGGTATTCTCAAGAGTCTCCTCTAGCACCACAATTCAAAAGCATCAATTCTTTGGTGGTCAGCTTTCTTTATGGTCCAGCTCTCCCTTCCATACATCGCTACTGGAAAAACCATAGCTTGACTATGCGAACCTCTGTCGGCGAGATGATGTCTCTGCTTTTTAAGATGCTGTCTAGGTTTGTCATCACTTTCCTCCCAAGAAGCAGGTGTCTTTTAATTTTGTGGCTGCTGTCACCATCTGCAGTGATCATGGAGCCCAGGAAAGTACCAGAATCAGCACTGATTAAATCACTTTCTCCTCCCTTTCCTTAGTATGTGCTTTGTTGCTGATTGACACTTGAATTTGGAAAGCTGATCCCCTTCACATTATGTTTTGTTTTCATTCTGGGTTAGTGATCTCTTAGATGTTCTGTTTCACTTATGAGACAGACTCTCTCTCCCCCTCTCTGCCAGTTCTTTGCAAATTCTTATGCACTGGTTAGTTCCTCAAGGAGAATCTATTCTCACAATGTATTGTTTGTCTTTGTAGGGTTTCCAGGTATCTTTGTAGTGGCCTGGGCGGTGGTTCGAGCAACTGTGGCAGATGCAAGGTAAGCAGTTCTGGTGCAATAGCTTTCTTGAACTTTTAAATTTATGCTGTGGTAACTGGCATGGTACCACATGAGAAAACTATCTGTGTATTTTGTACGCCCATAAAGACGGAAGTTATCTGGCAATGTAATCTAAAACATGGCACAGGCCCATTAAACCAGTACTCTTTTTAATGCAGTGGTGCCTAGATTTAAATAGAGAGGTTGTGTATTCAATACTTCCCAAATATCTCAAAAATAAATATTTGTAAAGAAAACTATCTATGTATTTTGTACGCCCATAAAGACGGAAGTTATCTGGCAATGTAATCTAAAACATGCCACAGGCCCATTAAACCAGTACTCTTTTTAATACAGTGGTGCCTAGATTTACATAGAGAGGCTGTGTATTCAATACTTCCCAATTATCTCAAAAATAAATATTTGTAATGATGAACTCACTAGAACTGGTCACAAGAGGAAGCCACATACCATGCTATATATATTTGCTAAAGAAATATATTTCCATGTTGTCATTATCAGAACTGACCCCAAGAGGGAGCGAGAGACCATGCTATACACCAGGGGTGTCTAAATTTTCACCTTCCCTGGGCCACATTAAAAGATGAAAATTTGGTTTGAGCCCCCCATAAAATAAAATAACAATAACGAGATATTTTGGTTCTAGTTTTATTCTTTGTGTGCTTCGTCCTTGAAAACAGCTGCTCACAAATGTAGGTGCTTTCCAAATAGCGATGACATGAATAAGGCATGATTGTGAAGTGAAGGATATTTTTCTCTGGGAACATATATCTTATAGAAGTCCATTAAAGAGACATGGTCAAATTTTTCTTTCAGTTGAATGTCAGATTGGAGCTCTATGCATTCCATTTGCAAATTGGCAGGTGATATATTAATGTCCACTGAAAAGGGAGTTGCAAATATCAGAAAAGATGACTGATTTTTCCTAAAATC